TATATATATATATATGTCTTATAAAAACTTTTGATTTTTTTATATGATATTTGCATATAAAGCCAAAGCCCGCCCTGAAACCCTGACATTCCAGTCCTCCCCTTCCATCCGGGAGAAGCCGCTGTGGTCACTTTGATGTCTGTATCACTTTCTTGGCTACAGATAATCAAATAGACAAAACATAAAGCTTCAACAATAGACATTTAACTCCCTTACATAGCAAAATCAAGAGGCAGGAGATTCCAAAATTGTTTCGGCTGCCTGTCGAGCGCTGGCGCCTGAGATTCCCTTGGCCTCCTCCTCCTGGTCACCAGATGCAGCTGGTTCTTCCTGCAGAAAGAAGTGGGGCGAGGTCCTTCTAGTCGGGCTGCTCTGTGTTCATTACAGAGAACATTTTTTCCTAGAAGCTTCCCAGCATCAGCCTCATTGGTCACATGCCCATCCCGTACCAATTACTGGCTGAGGGAAAGAGGATTACGATGGGCTGAGCCCACTTGCACCAAACAAAATCAGGACGCTCTCAGCCAGGTTGAAAGGGGGCCAGTGACAGCTGCATGGGCAGTGTCGCAGTGCCGCCGTGGCGCGACTCCCGCCGTCTCCCTGTCTGCATTTGCAGGTATGCATGTAGAAATGTCCATGGTCAGCGTCTGGTGTGCGTGTCAGTTATTGACTCTGCTCTACCAATGCGAACCCCTCTGCATGAGCTCAACCCTCACTGGTGGCGGTAAGAGGCCCGGATAGTAAGTAAGTCACCAACTCTCACCCCCTCCAGTTTGCAGAAGCCACCCAGAGTGAGCCCTGCCATCTTTCCGCAGCGGGGTCTCCATGTGGCAGCGGGGAAGCATGGATTTACTAACGCCTATTTTATTGACCATGACTTACCACATCAGGGCAAGTCCAGCATGTTTTTGGACTTATAAAGGTGCCAGTGCAGACCCGTGCAGGCCCTCTGCCTTGTAAATTAAAACTGCCCCTTCCAGAGTTGGCCCTTGGTTCACTGCACATTCTGGCCACACTCTTTCTTGCCTGGACTTCACCCTGAGGTGGGGCTAACTGGACACTTCCATTGCTCGACCTCTAGTGACCGTATAATGCCTTTTGGGTGGGGTTCTTAAGTTAGCATCATTGAGGGGGATAGAGCATAGCTCAGTGGTAGAGTGCACGCTTAGCATGCACGAGGTCCTGGATTCAATCCCCAGTACTTCATTTAAAAAAAAATTTTTTAATGTATGAATCAACTGTGTCCACTAGAAATCTAATAAAGCGATGTCTTTTTTTTAAAAAAGGCTTTAAAAAATGGAGGAAAATTCCCCTCCTTCTAAGTTGGCATCATTGATCTGAGGAGAGGCATCTGGGGAGGTGACAGTGCCGTTGGGGGCTGGACCCTGTGCATCACGAGAGTTAATCACTGCTGGATCTTACAGTCATCCTGCCCCACAGTCACAAGAGTCTAGACACTGCAGCTTCCTTGCTAAGTTGTCAGGTTTTCCAACGTCTTGCTGTTACCTCCAAGTAATAGAAGATATCACAGATTAGTTCTGCATGTTTTTGAACTTTATACGCATGAAATCATAGGACATGTATTATGTTGCATCTGACTATGTTTTCAGGTGTGTACACATAATAAAATTATATCTTCCTGGTAAATTGAACAGTTTGTCACTACAATGTGAACCTCTTTATCTCTAAAAATGTGTTTTGCCTTCATGTCTGTTCCCCCGACATTCTCCATCTTTCTTTTGTTTGATATTTGCATGGCCTATTTTTTTCCATCCTTCAATTTTAATCTTTCTGTATTCTTATATTTAGCTGTGTCTTGTAAACAGCACCTGGTTTTTTAAGTTTACTGTGATACAGTTCACATACCATACTATTCATCCATTTAAAGTATACAGTTCAATGCAGCATATAGTTTTTGTTAACCAAGTGTGACAAAACTTTCCTTTGTCTTTTTACTGGACAGTTTAGTCCTTTTATATGTAATGTGATATGGTTATACTTGAGTTTAAATTTGCCATCTTACTGTGTATGTCCCATCTGTCCCATTATTCTAGGTCTTTTTTCCTCTCTGTCCTTTTGAATTGATGATTTTTTTTAGTTCTATTTCTTTCCCTCTCCTAGTTTGCAAATTATACTGGTTTGTTTCTTTCTACTGATTACCCTATAAATTCTAGCATGTACATTTTACCCTTTAAAATCTGAGTTAGTGTCCTACCCACAGGAAGGATGGAGGGGCTTAGGCCAGGACTGCAGATGCTGAGGGGAAGGCCAGTGTTGGCATCCATGGTGGCACTGCTGGGCCTGGGTTGGCCTCCTCTTCCTCCCCTTCCTTCAGTACCCAGACAATTTTTGTTTTGGTTACCAAGATGATTTTCACAATCAGAAGTATTTGGTAGTTTAAAAAATGTTTTAAACTGAAACTTTTAAATTGGAGTGTTGTTAGTTTATTGTCACAGAATTCTTCAGGCTTATTTATCGATGTATTAAATATACACAAAAGGCACATAAGCCATAAGTGAATTTTTACAAAGTAGCCCCCACTCAGGTTAAAAGGAAAAGAACATCACTAGGAGTCGAGAAGTGCCCCTTTGTGACTGAGAAGAGGTCACTGGCCCCCCTACAGTTAACCACCACCCTGACTCCAAGAGCAGATTAGATCTTAGAAGACAGGCTTTAGATTAGCTTTGCTTGTTCTGAACATTCTGTGAGTTTGATCATCCAGTATGTGTTCCTTGGAGTTTTTGCGAGTCTTCCGATACCGTGTGTAGCGCTTGTTGGTGCATTCTTACTGCTGCATGAGATCTCATTGTACAGCTGTGACAATTACTTATTCATTTTACTGATGATGACTGTTTGGTTGTTTCCAGTTTGGGGCTTTTAGTGATAGCGCTGCTGTGAACGTTCAGGTCTCTATATATGTGTATTTCTGGTGGGTACATACCACTCATATATACCCATGCGTGGTAAATGTATAATCTAGGGGATTCACCGCTCTTCTCCTTGGGCAGCCACTGTCCCCACCTCCCAGAGCCCTGCCAGTGGAGGAGTCTTCTGTTCATCAGGGCTGGCCCAGGTCCTGGCCCAGGGGTCTGTGAGGGACAGCTCTGCAGCCCTGCCACCATTCATGCTACCTCTGTAGGAGATGTTCACAGACAGTGGAGGGGAGGGTCCCCCACCATCAGGAAGCATTTTCAGTGGACTCAGCGCCAGCGAACGTGATGAACCTCAATCCCAAACAGTTGCCCGGACGAGGGTTCTCACAGGGCGGGTTGGCAGCTCTTGTCCCATGTAGAGATGCATGCCACAGCATCAGTACCAGGGCAGGGTGGTGCTGGGTGCTATGCAGGGAGGAGGGAGCAGTGGAGAAGGCATGGAATAAGACATTGGAGTGGGTTGGGAGGAAATTTGATACACAGAGCACTTATCACGGGTTTCTTTCTTTGTCTTTTGTAACAAGGTTCCCTTGTCACGTGCGGTGGACAGTAAAGATGAGGAAAATATTTCTGAACAAGATGGGTTTCCAGGCTCACCTCTTACCCCAGAGTGTACACAGGTAAAAGGTAAAAAAAAATTTTTTTCTTAATATAAAAGCATTTTGTGGCAGTAAATATTGATTACTTTGCGGGGACATCTAGCCATTGCATCTCCATACTGTGGTTCTGTGGTTCCATGATTATAGGAGGAACATCCCAAGTTTTGTTTTCACTGGGAGAAGTTACTCCACAGTTGATTGCCTGTGTGTTAGGGTGTCTTTAAAGTACAAAGTGCTCACGTGGGAGTCCACCTGGTCAGTTCTGTCAGTCAGAAGAGGACGCCTAGGGAGGAGGTCACAGCTGAAGCTCTGAAGCTTTCCACACTCCTCCCTCTCTGTGCCCTGGTGTCCAGTGCTACGCGGGGCCAGTGCACAGTGGTCTCCACGGAATAGCCTGGCCAAGTGAGCTTGTCTGTCCTGGTCACCGTGCTGTCTCCATTGCCTGGAGCAGGGCCTGGCCCACAGCAGGCTGTCACCACAGGTGTTTTAGATGAATGAGTACGTGGACATGTTTAGAATACAACTTTATAACTGCACACTTTTGTGTGTTTCGTTTGGCACAGTGAGAGAATTCAGCGCATCATCACAAAGGTTGTTTTCAGTTTCTTAAGAAGTGGCTTATGTTTGAGAAGTGCAAAGGAGAGCCTGGCTTACAGTGGGCACCAGTAACTGCTTCGTCAGGACCCCCGAGAGTTGCTTGGGCTCCAGGAGGCTCCCATATAAGTCATTTCACAAGGGGACTGATGGGAAAACTGGATGCCAGTCTGCTAATAACACCTGTGCCAGAAAATGCCAGTTGGTTAGGAGGTATATTTACCCCTGGGGCAAAATCCATGTGAATATTAAATTCAGGTAAAAGGTATATCTCTTTTTGAATTACAGAACTAATACTTTCTCACTGTAAAAAACAAAACAAAAAAAACCCCTGAAATGCAGAAATGTATAAAGTTAAACACACATAATTGCACTCCCATAGATAATTAATTTTAACAACTCAGAATGTGTATGTAAAATCCAAGTTATTTTGTTAC